CCCTCCTCCTCCTCCGCGCGCCCCGCTTCCCGAAAGCTCCGACACCGTGCCCTTGCTCGTTGTGAGCAAGCAGCTGTAACACTTTGAGATTTTCTGCTTCATCGAGCCTCTTACTATTTTCAAAACCTCTTGTGTGACATTTTGTTATTCAAGGTCATCAATTGCTTCGGCCTACTTTACCTCTTTCCCATTGTATACCCCGACGAATCGCACAACTTCGTACCTTACCCACTCCATGCGAAAACATCAAATTCCCAGGACAACAATGATGACGGCATCAATGGTGTTGTGATAGGCGTACCTTTAAAATACATGGCATTTACCATCGACTGGCTACCTTACCGAGTATCAAACAACGCCCGAGACGAGACGAGCGTCTTTTGCGCAAACAGAATACTAGGTATACCCGACATACCGTACAGAAACAACAAGTTTCCTAGTCGTATACAACAATAAATCTGCCCAGCATGAGGATACGCATGCCCTTCGCCGGTTCGTCTTTTCCCTCCTCCACTTCCTTTCCAGTCCATCCCCCTCCACTTAACCACAGAACAACTCAACTAACAACCCTCTCCTTCCAGGCATCTTCGCCGCCCTCCTCCTCCTCTCCGCCTACGCCGGCCTTTCCTCCCTGCACATGCCCCAAGGCACGCTCCTCAACGACAAAACCCTGCACTTCTTCGTCTTCTTCCTCCTAACGACAACCTTCTACTGGATCCTCGATACCACGCGCCGCCGCATTTTACATCTCACACTTTCGATCTGCACCCTCGGCATGGGTGTTGGGAGTGAGTTCCTGCAGGCCGCGATCCCGAACAATGGACGCGAGTTCGACCCCTACGACATCCTTGCGAACTTGCTGGGGAGTTTGTTGGCTGTGGGGCTATGTGGTTGGTATCATAAGCGGATGTTGGAGAGGAGAAGGGTGAGGAAGTATACTGCTGTTCCTACTGGCGAGGAGGGAATACCCGAGGATGGTGTGGATTTGGAGTTGGGAGAGGGCGTGGGTGTGGGTGTGATGAGGAGGAGTGGGGAGCATGAGGAGGGGGTTGTTTCTGCTGGTGGTGCTGCTGCTGCTTCTCGGGCGGCTGCGGCGCCAGTTACGGCGCCAGTTACGGCAGCTACGACGGCGAAGAATAACATGTCGCTTGAGGAGGAATTGGATAATTGGGATGAGAACGCGGTTGATGCGTGGGATGAGGATGATGAGGCGGGTGATGTTGGTGCGAGTGGTAGTGGTGCTGGTGGCAAGAGCGGGGATGCTATTGCTAAGGATATTGGAGCTGCTAAGAAGCGGGTTGATTGAGGTAAACCAGCGAGAAGAGAGGGAAATGGACAAAAACATATCTATTTGGATGATTTGGACAAGAATCCTGTTAGTTTCCATGAGATCATTCCTTACAATTGGAAGGCGTTTACTTTCTACGGTTACGGTACCTTTGGCTCAGGCCAATCATTCTCACGGAACTAAGGGAAAGACTGGAAGCGGACCTGGCGAAAAAGGGGGGCGGGACGCTGGAATCTTGTTTTTACGTTTACCTTTATACCAGTCAGTCAGTCAGTCGGTCTTCTAAGCTCCTACCCATATCATATAACCCACAAAAATACCGAATCCCGAGTTAAGCGCAGGATGGATGCCATGGTAATGTTTCACCTGTTATTCGCGAGTGTGTAGATAGGTAAAAGAAACGTTGGTGGGATATATGTAAAGAATAAGAGGCCACAGAATATAATCAAAGAGGAAGGCAGGAAGGCAGGAAGGCAGGAAGGCTAGAAAGTCAGAAGGAGGGAAGGAGGGAAGGAGGGAAGGAAATGTTTCATCCAATCCATCTGTAATAGTCTATCACCGCATATCATCCCATAGACTATACTTCTACACAGGAAAAAACCATGTCCCATCCCATGCCACCTAGACTTCACTACATACCTGTATCTCAGCTTCCCCAAGCCTACTCCTACATCTCATTTCCTAATCTTCAACATTTCAGCTCTATGTATCACTTCAACTCACTTCTATTTTCAACGTTCGGTACATCAGTCTATACATCTACTTCTATCTACATTACTGTGTACATGCGTGCTGTGACAAACCTCCCAAGCTTGCAGTCAATGTCTACATTGCCTATGGCGTTTGTACACAGTCAAATCAAATCAGTGAGATTGGGAAGATTGCGTTTGCAAATGACAAGGTAACGGCGATGATGATGATGATGATGAGGTCCACGGTTCATCATGTATGTATGATATCGACAAAGAAAGAATCTACGGTAAGTATGGCAAACATATTTCTCATACATCACTGCACCCATCGCGGTAGAATCAGGCAAGCGGCGTTTAAAAAGTACACTAGCACAATTTTGAGATTTGGTTGGAGTATGCATGTATGAAGTGGTGTAAGTTCTATTTTCGCTTCCTTGCCTGACTAACTACTTTTTCCTCTCTCTCCCTCTTTTTCTTCTCCGCTTTCCATGATGCCCAGAAAAGGGGCAGATATGACCAAGCAACGGTAGTACTCCTATTCGGTCGACGCTGATTCAATGCAAGAAGATGCTCGGGAAAAACGTAGGCCAACCGATCGGCCAACTGATTGTCTGAAGCCAGAGGCAAGGGGGTGCCAATTTAACATCCATCAACGCGGCTTTGCAAGAAAGAAAGAGCACAAAAATACAAGAAGCCAATGATCTTGTTACGCGAATCCAGGTCGCGTGGTATTGGTGTTTTTATGCTAACATCCCGTGGTAACGCGGTTCCATCCTCGTCTTTATTCATATCAGAAGAAAGATACTGTGATGGAAGGCAAGAGGTCCACTGAACCGGAAGGTGACACTTTCCGTGTTGAAAGTGACCCAATACTGAGGTTAAGGTCCATGCTTATTTCTCAGATCATCCAATAAGCGCAAGGCAATAATTCGCATCCTCAAAACAGCATCATGCTTGGCATCACAGTCCTAAGGAGCAACGCGTCTGAACTGGTCGAAAAGCTTCTGTGCTTGCTGGGCATCGTAGCCCGTCGGGACCGGAGGGGTAGAACCGACCCGTATCCTTGAGACGCCTCCCCGTAGCTAGCGACTCCAGGGTTGGCGGCACTCCTCAGGTTTCCAAGCAAAGCGTTCATGTCGATCTGGGCTGCTTGGGGAGCTGCAGGAGCTGGTGCGGCGCCGTAGGGCATGGATGGATGATGCGGTTGCTGATGGGCCACACCTTGGGACTGTGACAAAGTGGCCAAGAGGGCGCTGAGAGATTCGTTGTTCAGTTGGCCAACCACGCTTGAAAGATCCTGCACTGGAGCAGGCGGCTGTATTTGAGGTACCGGAGCCGGAGGGATGGCGTAGTGTTGTTGTGGGTATGGGTAGCTAACGGGAGGTGGGACCTCTAGGCCACGCCCATGATCATAGTTGCTGACTGAGGGATAAGTAGGTTGCGGTTGGGGCGGCTGGATGCGCTTCTTCTCAACCACCAACGCAGCAGCCTGTTGCGGCGTTACCTTATAATCGTCGAAGTTGATGCTGGTGCGGGTCCGAGTAAATACCCGAATGTCGAGCTGTTGCCTGCTCGGTGAGGTTGAGTCAAGGAAACTGACCGCATGCACACCCTCCATCATCTGACGTTGTATGAGCGGCTCCCGGGGGAAGCGTGGATTTGCGTAAATGACATCCGTTCTCAGCCCATGAGCATGGAAGATACCCTGAGCCCACGAGACGTACTCCTTATGTACGTCTCCGAGTAGGACAAGCTGAACGTCCGGAACATCGGCTCCATAGCGGAAAGGCATGTCAAGCTCTTCGCTAGATGGCACGCGCCGATGCGGGCTTTCGTCCCTGCGTCGATAGCCGTTGTCATAGTAGCGGCCTGGTGGAGGTGATCTGGATCGGCGGCTGTCATATCCAGGGCCAAAGTCGCGGTCTCTGGAATCCCTAGCATATCGGCCGTCTCGGCTTCCTCGGCGAGGAGAAGGTGAGCGCCCAGGACCCGGGCGGTAGTCATCTCTGCGCCAGCCCGGATCTCTCGCCTCATAGCGGTCTCTTATGCGAGTGTCACGCTGTGGGCGGCGGTCGGGCGATCTCTCGCGCTCACGTTCACGGCCGTGGTCAGAATGTTCTTTTCGGGCTCTATCCTGTTTCTTGGATATCTCCAAGTCTTCATAACGGTTAGCTGACCGCACTATGCCCCATACAGCAAGCAAAGTCTGGGAGTAAATCGACTTACTGATTGCACGGCCACCGAGCTCGATATCGCGGCAGCCGCGAATAGCAGCGAGACCTTCCTCGATGGTATGATATTGGACAAAGCCATATGCATTCTTCAAAGAGATCTGTGCGAGGCGTCCGAACTTGCTAAAGACATCGAAGACTTCGCGTTTCGAGACTCTCTCACATGACAAGTTACCTAGGTTATAAATCAGTACATGGTACCAAACAATACAAGCGACTGTTCCACTTACCAATAAAGATACGCGATCCTTCAGGGAAGCGTTGCTCCCATCTAGCCTCCAAGGTGTACTGCCTCTCGTCCACAAGGAACTTTTCGTAGTCCTGATCGCTTGCTGGCGTGTAGATGTTGCTTATGTGAGAGTTACCAGGCCCCAGAGCGTGTCGGGAGTTATGCGCAGATGCGTACGGCTGGGCTTGGGCATTATTGAAGGAATTGGGCGGGATAGGAGGCAGAGATGATATGGCTCCATTGTCGATACCGGGGCCGCCAGTAGACATGTACGCAGTACGTGGTGTCCCAGAACCAACGCCGGGGGAGAGCTTTGGGTATGTACAGAGTTATGGGGTCGGGGATGGAAGTGATGGGCCTGAGGTGGGATGGCAGGTAGGCCACCCTGAGGTTTAGGTGGAAGGGAAGCAGAATGGGAAACATTGAGAATGCTTGCCCCATTTTGGGAAGTTTGGGTGGCAGGCGGTTTGGATGAAGCAGCTGCTACAGATGTGGTAGAAGCCGTGGTTGGGGATGCGGCAGCTCTCGCCGTGATGTTGTCCACGAGCTTCTGAATGTCAACGGCAGTGTCATCATCTTCATTTGCCGGGGTCGGATTGTTTGAAGCGGCAGCAGAGTCTTTAGTGGAGGACTGGGCATCATGATGGGGAGCATCTGGCATTTGGATATCGCGGGAATCCTGTGCGGGAGGCACCTCGGCCATGGAAGAGCTGCCGTTGAGCGTGGCATCGGGTACAAGATCGGGATTCGAGCTTTGGAGATGTTGCTGGGGGGCGGCGGGAGCGGAATCAGATGGCGCATCTAGAGACTGAAGCGATTCGTTGGTCTGGACTGAGAGTTGCTCGGCTTCAGAATGGGGCTTGGTTTGGCTTGTGACTTTGACTGGAGGAGACGAGGAAGGATCAGAAGTAGGTGCAGTGGAAGGCTGAGTCTTCGAAGGATCAGACGTGGAAGAATCATTCATCATAGTTTCTGAAGCCTTTGATACATCTGGCTGAGTCTCGTCGGCCTCACCTTCTTCACCTCGGTCCGTGGGCGAATCAAAGGTGTGCGCATAGTCATCGCTGCCCGTCTCCGGCTTGTCCCCCTGCTTGTTGTCCTGCTCGTGCTCCGGGCTCTGATCCTGCCCGTCCTCGTCATACGCATCAAGGCTGTCGTTATCATCTTCCGAATACTCGCCGGCAACTACTATGGTGTCGGACACATCGGAAGACTCTTGGACCGGCTCTGGCATGGTAGGCGAGGTGTACTGGTTGTACGAGGGTTGTTGAGACGTAGGGTTCGTATTGGTCAGTTGATTGGTTAGTTCCTCAACTACCGCGTCAATGGCGGCGGCGTGGTCCTGTAGCCTTGGGACCAGGGTCGGCGAGGTGCTGTGTAGGGCAATTGGCTTGGGCGAGAGAGGACTTAGATCGGCAGAGGCCACAACTTCCGGTGTCTGCCCAGGCATCAAGTGGAATCAAGAGGGACCGAGGATAGTCTGAGTCTTGTTGTAAGGGTGTGGTGAGAAAGGATGTGGGACAAGACTGAAGTTGGAGTAGCGGGATGGCGGGAGGTCTTGTTTCCTGATGTCGACGTCGCGAGAGCTGGTTGTTTTAAGCTTGTCCCTGGTGGTGTAGCAATTGGTTTGAGTGTTGGAACGCTGTTTGAAGGTTTCGTCTAGATCACCAAACTAAACGTGAAGTGAAGAGGGAAGACACGAGCTAGTGAATGTTTAAATTTGTTGGAGAAGCAGCACCGCAAGGGCGACGACGTTGTTGAGGACTTGAGAGTTTGGGGTAGGTAAGGTGGGTAAACAGTTCACAACGGGCTGCACCTGCGTGGGGGGGGAATGTGACTGGGAAATGGGAAAGAAGAGTTGCGTTGAGCTGCAGCTGAAGTGCAAGTCAAAAATTAACGATGTTGGAGAAAAGAGTTTGCAGAAGTTGAAAGTGGAAGAAGGATGCGAAAAGAAGTCACGGTAACCAGAACCGACCGCGTTCTCCAATTGCAATTGCGGGGCGGCGGGAGGAGGAGGAACAAGCGGAGAGCGGCGGACGGAGCTTCTCTTCCAGGTTTATGTACTTTGCTTGTCTTATCTGGACCTGGACGTGTCGGTTGAGGGCCACACTGCCAATTTGAGAAGCGTTCAATCGCAAAGACCGAGCTTGAGCTGAGGGTGAAGTTGCCAACCAGGGGCGATGGGAGGAAGTGGACAAAAATCAAATAAAAGTTGTGTTCTGGACCAAGCAAAGTTTGCATAAACTGGAAGTAGAAGCAGACTAGCAGCAGTAGGGTATTTGGAGATATTCAAAACGTGCGTATCTGCAAAAATAAGGCAGAGGGACGTGGAAAGATGTATGAGGTGCAGGCGGGAAGCCGATAATTGAATGACGGCACAGGTCGAAGGGCTGAAAATGCCTGGGAGCGAGAGGACACACGAGACTGGAGTGGAAGCTCGCTTGGCATCTTTGAAAAGGTGGAGCTCCTGCAAGGCTGACCAAAGAAATTTCTCGATGAAAGCAGCTGTGGACTGCAGTGATGGTGGGGGGACAGCGGGGCTTGCCGTGTGTTTAGTGCTGTGCCCCCGGCATTTGCATGTCTAAAAGTCCGCTGCACCTGGCTGCTATAACAAACCACCACTTACACCCGATCGGCTTAACATCGGGTTTACATGTGAGGTGAGAATACACCTCCCAGACTATACCGGAGACAGATATCAAAGTTATTCTTACAGCTCGTTGAGCTTTGGAGTTTCCGCGATCGAGCCTGCTAACACGGTAAATGGTTGATACCTCCAGGGCGTCGAGGCAGATAGTTAGCTGCCCTAACAGATTGCAGAATGAACAACATCGGGATGAGGCTCCTTGTCAGCCTCTCGCCCATGGTCCGCTTGCACCCTAGACTTACTTGGGCCATGAACCCGAGCCCTGTGATGGTGACAAGACGGCTGGCCCGACATCAAGCATTTGACGCTGGGTTTGACCCGGATGAGCTAGCCGAAGCACGCAAGTGGCACAAGTCGTTCCAGCCAAGCACTCTTCCACAGGGCGACACCTCCTTTTCACGCTCCAGTGGCCCCGGAGGCCAGCATGTAAACAAGTTCGTCTTACCCTTCAGTTAGGTGCGGTATCCAGGTCTTGTCCATCCAAATTGACCATGAGTAGGACAGAGTCAAAAGCAACAACCACATGGCCCATCTCAAAACTCTTAGCCCACCTACCCAAGATTTTACAGGCTAGGGCTCGAACCTCAAAATACTATACTAAAGGCAATGACTCTATAACAATACAGGCACAAACCGAGCGCAGCAGGAGTGCCAATCAAGCAGAGAACCACCAAAAGTTGTATGACGAGCTCATGAGTTTATACACGAAGGCAGTCCCCGCAGAGTCGAGTCCTGACAAAGCACGAAAATACGAGGCTCTGTACGTTTTATGAATCCATTGGGGCATACACTTGGTTAGAAAGCTCATACTGATATTGAAGCACTTACAGAAAGAAAGCTGCTAAAGAGGTTCGACTGAAGGAGAAAAAGTTCCACAGCTCCAAGAAACAGTCCAGGAAGGGCGGAGGGTCTGACTATTAAAGTGTCATGACGGCGGTGTCCAAGTGGGTGATCCGTCGCGTGCCATAACGAACGTTAAGGTTCCCAAACTCCACCAAGCCATGTGGTAAATAAAGCCAAGTCCAGACAAGACGAAAGAAGTTTTAGGGTTTTGTTACTGGTGAAGTCCAGGTGAGGTTAAGGATGAGACCCAAGTGCTCTTATCGGTTATCATTTCTCAACCCCGTACCTGACGTAGGTGATCCGTGCGCCACACCTCTGCCGCCCTTGTCCCTGCCAGAGCCGCAGGACGCTTGACTAGGAGAGGTAAGGCTTGCAGCTGGATAGTCCTACCGCCCGGCAGAATTATCAGTGGGCATAATTTTTTTGGGCCCTTGATGGCCAGCCGTTCTCGACTGTCTGTTCGCTGCTGTCTGCCCCGAGTCCGTCTCGAGTTGGAACTGGGTCTTTCTTGCTCCTCCTCTCGACAAGCGTGACAGTTCGGATCTGCCACCAGTCTTCACCATGTCACAAAAAGTCATGTAAGTTTTCAGTCTCCTGTCCCTGATGTCTTGAGTAATGCCGTCGTCTTGTCTTGAAACTAATCAATCGTCTTCTCTTGTTACAGTGATTCGCGCATTCCTGCGCTCATTCGCAATGGCATGCAGGAGAAGAAGCGTAGCTTCTTCGTCGTTGTCGGCGACCACTCCAAGGAGGCCATTGTCCACCGTATGTCGACTCGTCCCGATACCCTTTCCTCCTCGATCGCGACAACTCCCCCCGATAAGCTAGCTACCGGTGATGGCTGACGTTCAGCTTTCTAGTTTACTACATCCTTTCCAATGCGAACATGAAGCACAACAAGTCCGTCCTTTGGGCATACAAGAGCAAGCTTCTCGGATTCACAAGTCATCGCAAGAAGCGCGAGAACAAGATCAAGAAGGAAATCAAGCCGTGGCGTTGCGAGGCCAACTCCGAGGACCCTTTCGAACTCTTCATCTCCCTCAACGATATCCGATATGTCTACTACAAGGAAACCGAAAAGATTCTCGGTAACACCTACGGCATGTGCATTCTGCAAGATTTCGAGGCCATGACCCCCAACATCCTAGCCCGCACGATCGAAACTGTCGAAGGTGGCGGCTTGGTTATTCTGCTCTTGAAGGGCATGAACAGCTTGAAGCAGCTCTACACCCTTTCCATGGACGTACACTCGAGATACCGAACGGAAGCCCACGATGATGTTGTTGCGAGATTCAACGAGCGTTTCATTCTTTCCCTCGGCAGCTGCGAGTCCTGCTTGGTTGTCGACGACGAGCTCAACGTTCTCCCCATTTCCGGCGGCAAGGCTGTCAAGGCGCTACCACGCCCTACTGACGAAGAGGAGGTCAACCCGGCAAAGAAGGAATTGGACAAGATCAAGGAGTCACTTGCGGATACCCAGCCCATCGGCTCGCTCGTCCAGCTGGCCCGTACGACCGACCAGGCCAAAGCGCTGCTCACCTTCGTCGATGCTATTGCGGAGAAGACTCTGCGCAACACAGTTACCTTGACTGCGGCTCGTGGTCGCGGTAAATCCGCTGCTATGGGTGTCGCTATTGCGGCGGCCGTCGCTTACGGTTATAGCAACATCTTCATCACTTCTCCTTCGCCAGAAAACTTGAAGACCTTGTTCGAGTTTGTTTTCAAGGGATTCGACGCTTTGGACTACAAGGACCATGCCGACTACTCCATCATCCAGTCGACGAACCCCGAGTTCAACAAGGCCATCGTTAGGGTCAACATCCACAGAAATCACCGTCAGACCATCCAGTATATCCGCCCCCAGGACGCCCACGTTCTTGGTCAGGCCGAACTCCTCGTCATCGATGAGGCTGCTGCTATTCCTTTGCCCTTGGTCAAGAAGCTCATGGGCCCTTACCTCGTCTTCATGGCCTCCACCATCAGCGGTTATGAAGGTACCGGCCGCTCGCTCTCCCTCAAGCTTATCAAGCAGCTTAGGGAGCAGTCTAGGACTGGTGCCGGTGTTAAGGACGCCGTTGAGGTCGACAGGACGAATGGCAAGGTGACCAAGGACACAGAGACCGTCTTCACTGGCGGTCGGTCGCTCAAGGAGATCACTCTCTCTGAGCCCATCCGTTACGCCCAGGGAGATCCGGTTGAGAAATGGTTGAACACTCTTCTTTGCTTGGACGCTACCCTGCCCAGATCCAAGCTCAACACCCAGGGATGTCCTGATCCCTCCCAGTGCGAGTTGCTCCACGTCAACCGCGATACCCTCTTCTCTTTCCACCCCGTCTCCGAGAAGTTCCTGCAGCAAATGGTTGCGCTTTACGTCGCCAGTCACTACAAGAACTCGCCCAACGATCTGCAGCTTATGAGTGATGCTCCGGCCCACGAGCTCTTCGTTCTCACTGCTCCTATTGTTGAGGGCAGACTCCCTGAGCCGTTGTGTGTTATTCAGGTCTCTCTTGAGGGTAAGATTAGCAAGCAGAGCATTCTCAACAGTCTCAGCAGGGGCTCGCAGCCTGCGGGTGACTTGATCCCCTGGCTTGTCAGCCAGCAGTTCCAGGATGATGAGTTCGCCTCGCTTTCTGGTGCTCGCGTTGTCAGAATTGCTACCAACCCCGACTACGTGTCCATGGGCTACGGCTCGAGGGCGCTTCAGCTGCTTGTCGACTACTACGAGGGCAAGTTCGCCAACCTTTCCGAGGAGACTGGCACTATTGTGCCCAAGAGTGCTCCCCGCGTGACGGACGCTGAGCTTGCGAACGCCAGTCTCTTTGACGATATCAAGGTTCGCGATATGAATGAGCTCCCGCCTCTCTTCGCCAAGCTGGCTGAGCGTCGCCCCGAGCCCCTCGAGTACATCGGTGTCAGTTACGGTCTTACCCAGCCGCTCCATAAGTTCTGGAAGCGTGCTCAGTTCGCGCCAGTATACTTGAGGCAAACTGCCAACGACTTGACGGGCGAGCACACGTGCGTTATGTTGCGCCCTCTTGGCGACGGCACCGATCCCAGCTGGCTGGGCGCTTTCGCCAACGACTTCCACCGCCGTTTCCTCTCTCTACTATCTTACAAGTTCCGCGAGTTCCCAGCCATCTTGGCGTTGACCATCGAGGAGTCCGCCAGTGCCGGTGCCAAGCTGGACCCCTCTAACGAGCCTACACCGCTGGAGAAGGCGGAGTTGGACAAGCTCCTGACGCCCTTCGACCACAAGCGTCTTGAGAGTTATGCCAACGGCCTCCTCGATTACCATGTTGTTCTCGATCTCATCCCCAGCATTGCGCAGCTCTTCTTTGAGGGCCGCATTAGGTCAAACCTCCAGCTCAGCGGTCTTCAGCAGGCCATCCTGTTGGCTATCGGTCTCCAGCGCAAGGAGATTGATGCCATTGCTGGAGAGCTCACTCTTCCTTCCTCCCAGCTTCTGGCTATCTTTATCAAGATCATGCGCAAGATTAGCACGCACCTTGCTTCGCTGGTTGAGGGTGCCATCGCCAAGGAGATGCCTCAGCAGATCGGCGTCTCGACCGAGGACGCCTCTGCGGCGCACGATGACGAGATCATTGAGAACCAGTTTGTGCCCCTTGGCCAGAGCTTGGACGACGAGCTTGCCGAGGGTGGAGACCAGGCCATGAAGGCCATCAGGGCCAAGCAGAGAGAGCTCATTGACTCCCTTCCCCTGGATCAGTACGAGATCGACGGTGGTGATGCCGAGTGGAGAGAGGCCGAGAAGCGGGTCGCCAAGGCTACCAAGGAAGGAAAGGCCAACCCTCTTGTCAGTGTCAAGACCAAGAAGCGCAAGGCCGAGCCCGTGTATGAGGAGGAGAAGCCCGAGAAGAAGGACAGAGGCGACAAGAAGGGAAAGAAGCCCAAGCACGACAAGAGGAAGTGAACAAGGACTTTCTGCGATTAGGGAATGTCTTTGGCATGATTCTCACAGCTTCCACGCGCCGTCCGCTATCCAACTGAGCTAGAGCCCATGCTTTGTCTTCTTTGCATATATGGTACAGCGATTCCGCAGTATCCTCTCGCCAACATGGGTTCCGTTCAAGGTCCCAGTGGTTGTGTGGAAGATGAGAGATGACAATGTGGTTTGCGGACGGTAATTATGACAGCTGGAGTCCTTTGGATGCATCATGATTGAGCTCATAGCTCCGGCCAAAGCCGATGATTGATGTGAGGAGCTCCGGAGAACGGGCCCGGTGGTGTTGCGGACATGTCTCCGCGCGGAACGGGAGCTTTGTTGTTAAAAAAGTGGAGAAGCTGATCGGCCCTGACCCCGGACGGGACCTGGACAGGACGGTGCCAAGACACAGGAGGTACCACCATGTAAGGAGAAATGCGGGGCAGCTGAAATGGCATTTACGGCGGCTGACTGCAGAGACATGAGACAATCTGGTAACAACAACACATTGCACAAATTCTGTAGATACTATAGCGAAGATCCTTTTATGATTATGAGCCACAATTTGGTTAAAACACCATTTTTTTCAAACAGCGCATAGTGCAGTGAATCACGAGGACGAGGCAACCAGACAAGGAAAGGGCCCGTATCGAGTCTCGGTGTGCCTCCACCGCTATCGATAAGTGAAAGGTACCACCTCCCGTCCGCGCCGTCTAACTGAACCCCTTCCCGTCCACTGATTATTGAGGGGTCTAGCCCCCCCGCTAGGTTTATCATCCTGACTGATCGGTTGGCTTACGGTGACAGAAACAACGAACGGACAATCTGGGGCGAGCAGCCTCTTCGTGTCACACTTCGAGCCTTGAATCGATTTGTCTGCTAGGGCTCCTGTCTTACACACCTACCTAGCTCGTCTCGAACTACCTGGCGAACGAAATCCGACGGTCAGCCCACGGCAGCCCGATTGCCACCTACCTTTCGACATCTCAGCGATATATCGGTGACCGCATATAGCACGGCCGCATCTTCTCCCACTCACTCGACTTCCTTCGCGTACAAGACCTCGAGCCATCCGACATCCAACAACATCATCCGAACAACTACCTCTACGTTGAATTGCTCTTCTTGCCATTGTCTAGATTTAGCAAGCAGATCCTGACAACGCCGTTGCGGCCACGAGCGTTGATCGACCCACCCCTGCGGGACGCCCTCGAACAACGCCCTTCTACAGATTTGCGACCATGAGTACCGCCAACGGTCAAACACCAGCAGTGCAGCCGTGTCGATACAAAGTTGGCAAGACTTTGGGCGCCGGTTCATACTCGGTCGTCAAGGAATGCGTACACATTGACACCGGTCGCTACTATGCGGCCAAGGTGATTAACAAGCGCCTGATGGCCGGCCGGGAACACATGGTACGCCTCCAATCTTCCGTCATCTTCATGAAAGCACCGTGCAATCCGGTCACTGTATACTAACGCAGCGGAACCACAGGTTCGTAATGAAATCGCCGTGCTCAAGAAGGTCTCCATGGGCCACCAGAACATCCTGACCCTCGTCGACTACTTCGAGACCATGAACAACCTCTACCTGGTCACCGACCTCGCTCTGGGCGGCGAGCTCTTCGACCGCATCTGCCGCAAGGGATCATACTACGAATCCGACGCTGCCGACCTTATCCGCGCCACCTTATCCGCCGTCGCCTACCTGCACGACCATGGCATCGTTCACCGCGACCTCAAGCCCGAAAACCTGCTCTTCCGCACCCCTGAGGACAACGCCGACCTGCTGATCGCCGACTTTGGTTTGTCGCGCATCATGGACGAGGAGCAATTCCACGTGCTGACCACCACCTGCGGCACACCGGGTTACATGGCGCCGGAGATCTTCAAAAAGACCGGCCACGGCAAACCCGTCGATCTCTGGGCCCTGGGCGTAATCACTTATTTCCTGCTGTGCGGCTACACCCCCTTCGACCGCGACTCAGACTTCGAGGAGATGCAAGCGATCCTCAACGCCGATTACTCCTTCACCCCGCTCGAGTACTGGCGCGGCGTGTCGGACAGCGCCAAGGATTTCATCAGGAAGTGTCTGACCATCGACCCGGCCAAGCGCATGACCGCCCACGAGGCGCTGCAGCACTCCTTCGTCGCCGCCTGGGGTCGCGGCGCCGACGCTGACGGAAATGCCGACAAGGGCGCGAACCTGCTGCCGACGGTCAAGAAGAACTTCAATGCGCGTAGGACGCTGCATGCAGCTATCGATACCGTGCGTGCTATTAACAAGCTTCGGGAGGGCCAGTTGATGAATGGCGGGAGGAGCCGTGAGCCGGCGGCGAAGAAGAAACCGGCAGTACCAGCAGTAGGAGGTCCAGGCGTAGATGACGGGTTAGCAGTAGCGCTCGGCCCAACGCTCGGAAAGGAGGCTAGCATGGTGTCGACGGCTAGTAGTAACCTCACCAAGGATAGCGGGTATGGGACGCAGCAGGAGGGGGGAAGCTCTAGGGATGATGAGGATGGGGATGGAGACGACGTTCTTATGAGGGATGCGTCTGCCGCGTCAACACCATCGTCAGATCCAGCGCCACCGCCGGTGCCGGCGCATACATCTGTGTCTGTGCCTGCGGGCGTGCCGAGTATTCTACGGCCGGGCAGTATCGAGAATAAGGTTGTCGAGACTGGGAAGGGGTTGTGGAATGGGACTAGTGTTAAGCGATGATCCCTCACCCCTTTTCCTTTCTTTTTCTTGCTGGAAGATGGGTTTGACTTGGGCAGGCGGCTGGTTGGCTCTCTTTTATAAATGTTATAATCGTGTTTTTCAAAGGTTTATGAGCAGCGGGTTCTTCTCAGTTGTATGGATATTTTTTCTTCGGGGTTTTACTATACCAGACGTGAATAGCCGGCGGGCGTTTTGATTGTTATGGTATGATATCTGTTACATCTTGGTTCTTCTCCATGGTGAAGATGATGATGCTAATGGAATGGGTACGGGTATGGGTGCATGGATACGGTCATGAACGATGATGAATATGCCACTCCAGATTTCTCGGGATACAAGGAATTCATGATACCTACCGATGGAGATGGATTATTTCTATGTGGGCGTTTGCCAGGAGGAAGCTATTGCTATGGTAAGGTAGCTATCCAACCTCCTCCAGGATGTGTCACTATGCAAGGGAGTAGGTAGGTACTCTTTCGAACGTCCGTCCAGCTTCAATCATGACGTCTCGTCTCGTCTCAGTTCGGTTTGCCTTTGTTCTACCCTTCCCCTTGGCCCTTTTTTCTTTTTATATATAAGAGCAGGAAGAGATAGGTTGCAAGTTTGTCCACACCCCCTTTATGTCTGTCTCCCCTTTGTCCATCTAGGATTAGTTGTGATGGTGGCGCCCATTGTCCACCCGAGTTTGTAGTTTGTTACTATAGTCGTTGGTTTCTCGTCCATCCTAAAGACCCAAGCGACGTCTCACTCAGAGGTATGTATCTTGGCATCCACATCTGCTTGCGACTCATTGCAGTTTCCCGGATTCAATGGATTTGTAAAACTACTCGTAAAAAGACCTTCATGATACCTACCTAGACAAAAGCTTCGTTGTTGGTTCTACACTGCCCTTTCACCTACAGACTGGACTAACTATACGCGTACTAGGTACTCAGGTTCGCCAGTGATACAGGGGCAGGCAGCATTTGGTTCACGACTTTCTAAGCCACAAGCACAGCGGCTTGTTAAAATTCGTCAGCACTAACCAAGTTCCAAGTTGGAAGTCTGAAGGTACGCGTATGTTTGATCCTTCGAGGCTATGGGTTGGATCCATTTTGCAAAGTTGCTACCTAATGCAATCTTAATAATGTTTTGAAGTTGAACTTTCCGCGTATGCTAGAGGCTAGCAAGTGGCAAGAGAGTGCTGACGAGGTTGAAAGTCAAGTCAACCTCGCCGTCGCGCGTCGTTTCGACTGACTATCATATTGGCAGCAATACCTATACGCCCGTCCCAAAGAGTCTCAACAATTCAACAAGATCAGATCAAACTTTGCATTGGATCCCGAACCCCTGAGATCGGAATCGGGGATTTGGCATGACTTCCTTTGGCCTTTCAATATGAAATATTCGACGTTACCACGTCACGTATAATACATTACCAGGAAACAGGGGTCAACACCAGCCACTCCTTTTAAACTTTTCGGTGCCTCGAGGAGCCTTTCAATTTTTTGAAGGGTTTTCTCAACGACCCCATCCATCGAGCCATCCCCTGATCTTTGCATTAAAGTTTGGTCGGGAAATGCATCTATCGAGACGCTACGGGGATGGGGATTTTTTTTCCGGTAGCGGGCCCGGTCATCTTGATAACCCCGCCTCCGCCCTCCGAGCTTGCCCGCCATGCCATGCCATGCTAACTCGATCGATAATAGCATCGATGGACAGATTTGGGGTTTTGGGGTTTTGGACAGGGCATGTTGGAAGATAGATATACGGAAATAGAAACACAGAGACTGGGAGGGAAAACAGAAAGAGGGGAGTCCCTTGTGACAGACGAGGTTCCCCCCACGATGCAGTACCTAGGGACGACGACAGGGCATGGGTATGATAGTTATGGGTATCGATGAGCTCTTGGTGGAGGTGTTCACAATGCCTGTCAAGTGTCAAATGTCAAAGCTGAAGACCGAAGACGGTGATCGTGAAAATCGAGAAGTGCGAAGAGGAGAGGCAGGACGAGGCAGGGAGGAAGGGAGGAAGGCAGGATGAAGCCTGTCTCATCAGCCGCTCGGCCACTCGCCGACCATCATCCACCGTCAACCCGGTAGGTGACAGGGGAAAGGGGAATATCAAACGGTCTGACTGACTAACTGACCGACCCGATGGCGATAGCGACGGTGATCGATCGGAAGTGGTCAAGGTGGTGAACAACACGCGATGTGCTGAAGGCGGGAAGCAGACGGTGACCGCCTTTCTCTGAATGACACTAATCCCAAGTGGGATTTTTGGAGTGCCGTGAAACTTGGTGCTTGTCAAGTCAATGTTCAATAAGCGCCGGCAATGTTTGGGTGGCCTAGCCTGGCTTGTTGATTGTTGTCCTGGCCTTGGTCGCCGGGCCGGCTTTAACTTCACCCCTTTTTTGTTTTGGGGATTCTGGGTGTGGGCATATCTTCATTCAATGTGTCTTTGAAGTGAAGAAGACATCATGGTCGACAAAGGGAAGTTTTCCGATCTGAGGCGTTCATTGTGTTGATGGCTACAAACTTACAAAGGGGCAGTGACAGAAAGTCTTCTTACACTTCCTTCGGTATGCACATATCGATATCAGCATAAGAGTCGAGACTTGGACAAGGTAAAATGACAATGGTGCCATGAGCCCATACTATAATCAATGGTACGGTTTCATTTGAAAATCTTTATATTGACAAAAAAGCTTCGTTCGACTGGGAACCACCATCGAGTCGAGCAAAAGGAAGATCATGCGGTCAAATCGAAAGAATCAAACGGCACTCACATTTTGACATTGCAAGCTCACAGGGTCACGCCCGCACACTCGCGCTGCGGTGCGCTGTCCCTTGCTCATGGATGTACTTTTGTATCTTTGCTAAGTCCCAACCTTATGAACAAGCATGGGCGGATCTCGGCATCAACGTTTTCCGCGAACAATTGGATGTGAATCCCTTCCCTAGTGTCATTCCCTTCCCTTGTAGCTTTCACTATTTCGATCAACCAGCATCTGAGCATCCAGAGACAGGCATACCTTTGTCAGCGGGAAACCGAAAATTACACCCACACTACCAAAAATCTAATGCCAAGCTTTCCGCATGAAAACCTCAACTTCTCCATTTCCCAAAGTTCCTCCCTCCCAAAGGATGGACCCACCCGTGCTAAGCGCGGAAGGCTGCGTGCTTGGCATTATTACCGGGGACAAGCAAAATGCAGCTAACGATTATCCAGCCGCTGTTTGTGACTTCAAGATTGGTCAGTGGTTCGGGAGTTGCATGTTTTGGTGAAAACTCGAAAGAAGCTAAGAAAAGTCGGAGTTGACACTTGACGAGTTGACGACAGCCTTATGATGGATGGTGCATGCAGCTGCAGTGGGTGAAGTACGGTGTGCAACTAAGAGAAAGCTTTTTGTTAGAAGCCTTTCATGGAGAATGGGAGGTGAGGTTGAAAGCTGAAAAGTTAGTACGTACCTAGGCACTACTGAACCGAGATCCGAGATTTCTGGATCCCGAATGTCGGACCGGAGAACAAGCAGCGGAGGTACGGAGCACGGAGCACGGGGTTAACCGCCGACGGTGAAGGAGCACCGAAAAAAGGCCTCCGTGTTTCAGAGAAGGGGCGGCCAGGCAGGTGGCCCAGCAAAAAGAAGGTATGGAAATCCGCAATGTTGTGCAGCAGCCAGCAGAAGGGTCAAAGATTGAGAGACCCAACTGGAAACCCACGTGCGACGCAGGAACAAAAGGAGTTGAGGTGAGTTGGCTGCTGGACCTTGTTTTGATTCGTCGGGTTTGGAATCGATGATGGCCAGCAGGGCGTACACTACGAGCAAGCCGTGGAGAGCTTTTTCCAAAACAGGTATATCCAGTAACACGATACAAATCTGCCTCGCCGCTTCGTTTCCAGACGCTGTTTTAGAGCGAGATGATCCTCTTCATGGAAATGATGGGTGAGGTAAGTATTGCACCTCATAAGGAGAGACTCCATGGAATCCTGTCTCTTGTTCGTGATGAGCGGTTACATCCATGTCCCTTCCTCCCGTCTGTCTCTGCATATGGATATTTGTTTCGATCTTCGTCTCGCATTGAAAGGAACACAAGGGACAAGACGGACGGTTGAAAAGAAACAAACAAAACAAACAAACACCAAGACACCATGTAAAAGAAGCTCTTGGTTTATTTCCGGAGTTTGAGTTTCCTCAGAATGGAAACCTTGGTAACAAAGGATACACAAAGTTCCAAGACATGCAGATGGTTGTACCACCTTGGGAACTCACACTGCCTACAAGATATGGTACCATTGTTGCGGGATCCGAAGACGGGCTGTAGTTGATGATTACCTTACCGGAACCAACTGAACTGAACCAACCACCCTGCCAAGAAACACCAGCCAAGCCCAGGGACAGAAGGATAGGCGCCTCCGGTGATGGTGATGCGACGACGCCAAGTGGGCAGAGTGTTGCGGCGTAGTACAACTGTAGTATCAAACGCGAATCCGCGTTATTCGCGACAAGGCGGGCTCGCTGTTGGGAACTTGGACAGGCAGGCAGGCGTTGTGGTTGGAACCTGAAAACGGGAAATTAACGTGAACCAAAGAACCCTTGCAGCCCACCTGCCCATCCGACCCGGGCCACACCCTTCATCAACGACTGACAAGAAGTCCGCGTACCGAAGAACTGTACGTGTAGAGGTCCCGAAGCTTAACTCTTATCGGTATCACGCCTAGAGCTAGCCGACCAGTGGGAGGAAGATGCGAGGGTGTTACGATTACGGGCGATTGCGAAAGGTTGGAAAAGGCTGGATGTCGCAACTGGAGGGCTGGTACCGGAACGCACGGATCACCTGGTTTGGTCAATGTTACGGTTTGTTGGACCCTGGAGTGTGTGCGTGTGGTGTGGGAGATTCAAGAAGACCGTTGTCCATCGTTTTGTTTTCGTCGGCGTTGTCGTTGTTGACTTTGTTGGTTCAAAAGAAGCGGGAGGCTTGGTCTTTTTTTTTATGATTCGCATTGGATCTTTCGGACTC